AGAGAGAGAGAGAGAGAGAGAGAGATCATGCCCAAAGCAAGGAAAATATGTCACTAACACATACATCTCAGAGCAATATATCTGAAATATTTAGATATAATCTTATTAAATTCTGTTTACCAATACAATAATCTAGGCATTGAGTTTTGATCCATTTGTAACAATGAGTTTTACACTTGAATTTTATTTTCTGTCATTTAGATTTTCAACCAATGTTTGTTCAACTTGGCTCATAGGATTTCCTTAGAGTTTAATATCCTTTTGCCATTTAATTTTTTTATGCTTATAAAACAAACTGGCAACTGAGTTAATTAAATTGTGGTGTGGTGGCCTTGCCCCATGTGTAGAACTAGACATCTGTGCGAAGTGGGTGTAAAATGTTACCAAACCAGAATAGCAATATTTTACGCCCACTTTGCACAAGAATAAATTACTATACAAGGAGCAAGACAGTGGAGAATCATGTCCTGTAATTACTTTGTACAGAGCATTTATTAAACATACCTGGAAAGGTGTGCCCATTTCTGGTGCCATAATAGAAGAAGCCTGGAAAAGGTACAGGTAAATAATATCAAAGGCATCAGTAGTTAAGAAGACTAGGCTTGCATTCATTAAGAGCCAAATACTTGTTTTGTTGACAACAATAGGAATTTTATTATTTCCACTCAGCTAATCCCTCAAGGCCATATCCTTTTCCAGTTGAATTAAAGGGTCTTGGAGGTAATCTTAACAAAGGGTTGTTGTAATAATTTAGATGGAGTATATGAACTAAAAGTGTTAATGTAGCCCAGTCACTGTCCTAAATTAAACAGTATTAATTAAACGAGGTCTGGGGTTTGGTATACAGAGACTTCGGCCTGCGTAGTATTTTGGCAAAGATACTATTTAAAAATCTTTTAAACTTTTTATTAACGATACCGAAAAGGAAAAAACAGTTAAAGCATTTGAAATGTGAATTCTTAACGCAGGCTTTCATTTTAACAACATTTCTTGTGCCCTTTCCCTTTATCTGGAGAGTTTAAAACAGTATCAACTATGGCAATAACTGTCCTTTTTGGGAATGGAGAAGAAGTTAGTGGAGATGGGGTGGAGGAGATGCTGCTGCTGCTGCTAAAGTCCAATCTTAGATGGAAAAGTGGCCTTGTTTGAGTTTCTTAGAGGTATCAGAGATGGTAATAACTGGCATCCCAAGTGGTGTTTGGGATTCAGCGGCAGTCAGTAGAGATGGCGATGCCATCTGTCATCCTGTCTCGCACCCGGTCTGGTCAGGACATTTCTCAAGAGTAGGATGATGAAGGCCCGGAGTCCCAGGAAACAGTGGGGGTAACAGCTGTGATGGTGAAGCTCGCTCTAGTAGCCTTTGTCTGTTCTTTTTTTCATACTTTCCCCACAAAATCTTTTCCTTTTAAAGGATCCACAAATGGAATGATAGGTGGAATAGCCTGTCCCCTCATTATTTAATTATTAATTAGGCTTAATATTTGACATATCTTTTGGCTTTACATTTTTTGTTCTTAACAAGCATAATTTTAAGTCTTTTAATTATATTAACATGGCCTTTTTTTGTTTAGACTAATTCAGTTATTGTCTCCCTTTTGTACTTTCCCCATTAACATTGGTTATTATAAGTTATTGTAACAGCTTATGAACTTTTACATACTTTTTACAGTTAAACTCACAATTCAGGTAAATTCGTAGGTCCAATTGTTACAACAGGGCTCAATCCTGCAGTTGTCTTGCAGGCAGAATATATCCAGAGTCATTAGAAATCTGTTAGAAACCAGCAAAGGATGTTAAAAGTTAACTCCAGTTTTTCAAAAGAGCACGTCAGAAATGGATTTAGAGGCATAGTTGTGAGATAAACAAGGAAGTACTTGAGAATCTTTTTTTATATAAATATACTATAAATCTAAGATTAAGTATTTCATATCTTTCCACAGTTATGCCAAACACCCCATCATATGCCACATTGTTTGTACCTAATCTAAGAATATTTGATGGTTTACTAGTCCCAGAATGCTGACTAGTGTATTTTAAATTCTACTGAAATATAATGGTCTGGCATAGAGTACGAGGATGCTCTTTGACCGTGATTCCCAAACTTTTGAGTACTGTTGCTCCCTTATGAATATTTTAAAATTTGTGGGGTAGCCCACAACCAAATTCTGTGTTTTTTACTGATTCAGGACACTAGAGTTTGAATGGTTTTGCAACTTCTTTTCAACTGCATACAGTTTGTTTAATTATATAATGTGATCTAAGCTGGGTTTTTAAAACTGTAACTTGAAAATATGGATGTTTTTGCGTGTTCACAGCCTAAGATGTTAGTGAGAAGAATGGACCTGTTTCAGACTCCATAGTTGTACAGTATTTGGTTGAATTTCTAATAGCACCAGATGTAAATAGTTTTCCAAGTTTAACTATTTCTGTGTTTAGTTTTCACAGAAATTATTTCTGAAAACCCAGACTCACAGAAATAACTGGAAGCACATGAAAGCAGCATTTTCATAGCTTCATCTCTGAGTTCTTTACACTTCCTTTTAACAGAGACAGAATGGCTGGTTTGATAGATTTGGAAATGTGGTTTTTAGTGTGTGATCACTTGACAATTCTAAGCGATTTTCTTGTGTTGAGATACTTAAGTTTGGAATGGAGTCAGCAGCAGTTACCAAGAATGGGTATAGAATCCAGTCAGTATCGTCTTCCGCTGAATCTGTGCTATATGTAGGCTTAGCACCTGGTCAGAATTCTTCCATTATAAAGATAAGATGCACCTGTCTCTCCCTCAGCCCCCTCTCCCCATCTGCTAGTCCTGGTGCTGCTGCTAATACTGGGAGCCTTTCTTTGTCCTCTGCTCCAGCAAGGACTTGCAGGTGAGAGACTTCCTGCTGAATGCTTCCCCCAAGAGGAAGTTCCTTTGTTGAAGGCCCCCTACAGGAGCAGAGGGCACCAAGATGCTCCCATCCCCAGTACCAGGATAAGATGCAGACTTACAGGTAAGATATAGGTGATTTTTAGGCCTAGAAATGGGGGGGGGGAAATGGCATATTGATTAAATCCCCCCCCCCAAACACTCATAGCTCCCCAAGGGAGCCATCGCGCACAGTTTGGGAAGCATTGTTCTATGGTTACTGAACTGCAAAGAGATGCTCTCTGATTGGCTCAGGGCCAGTCAGTGCACAGGAATTCCCAGTCAAAACTGTACTTTCAATTCCTGTACACAGGATAGACCTGGAAGGGGGAGCACATCCCCTTCCTTTATTAAAAGCAGAGGGGAGTTTCCCCTCCTCTTCCTGGCTTAGGTAAGCAAGCAGTACTCATCCAGAGTTCCCCACCTTCTTGACTGGTGTGTTGGGAGCTCCCCTTCCTGATTCATTGTACTTCAGTCACTGTACAGCCAAGCTGCAAATCCCTCCACTTTGATTAAATATTGCCATCCGTATGCCCACAAACCATGGCTGTCTCAGTGTAACGTGCAAGAGCCTCAGGTCAGGGACCACGTCTTTATTCTCTCTGCAAAGTACCACGTGCACCTAACTGCTCTACATAGTAGTGTTAAATGACGAAATTTATGGCTGGTTTAGTTTTGAGGCAATCTATAACAAGATTGGCATCGCCCTAAAATAAACTCTTCTGCACCTGCCACTGTCTGCATGTACATCTCACAGCAGCTTCCATTTAACTCAGCAGTAATTGTAACCTGGGTCATGGAGTTCATTTAACCCAGCATCCTATTATCATCTTGCAGATAAGAAGTGTCCACAAGATAGCACTTGATAAAAATCCAAAGATTAAATTGTACGTCATAAACTTTTAACAAATGCCATTCACACATTATCAAATGCCATTCACGCATTCAGTCCAGCCTCCACGGCCCAGTGTGTATTTGAATAAGACCAATGGAACCTGGCAAACACAGATACAGGAGATTTTATTTAACCTTGTATACAAACAACGGCTAAAAAAGCCTTAGATTTTTATTTCCAAATACAGTTTTTGGATCCTTTTTTATGCCATTTATCTTCAGAAAATTAAAAAAATCCAGCATGACCATTTTTTAACTTTTTCTCTGCTGCATTCTTTGGGCCTAATCCTGAGAGCTATTGAGCCCTGCAAGTCTCATTAATTTCAATGGGAGTTACGTGTGCTCACCACCTTTTAGGATTAGGGCATTTATTCAATTTTTGAAAACAGAGCACTAATTGGGTATTGAAGCACTAACAATAGCGGTATAAAATGTCAAAGCAGAGTCTTTAACATGAAACATGGTGGTATTAAACAATGCAGACAATATTAGCTCTACGGTGAAACTCAAATTACCCACCAACAATGAACAAGTTTCTTCTACACCTCATACTTTAGCACTAATTATATAATTTAATTGTATTTATATTTAAATAAATAGTTTTATTATCTGCTTTCCTTTGAACTCTGCATGGATTATAAACACTTGCAACAGTAGAGATAAGAACAAACTACACAAGTTACATAGGCAAGAGAAGGCTTGGTTTTTATTTTATTTTTTTGCTAAACAGACACAGAAAGGACATACATTTCACAATGTCCCATTCTGAGATTTTCTTTTTAAATTCACTGTTTCATTCGGACTTCCTCAGTTATCCAACATCCTTCTTTTCCAGTTTTAGTATTTCATAGTCACTTTTAGTATTAAGATCTTAGCTTGGATACTCATAATTGGAAACATCTACTCTGGTTTTTACCCAATGCTCCCAAGTTGCAGTTGTTGTGCAGCATTCTCAGTCTAGGTCTACACTGGGGGGGGGGGGGGGGGGGGAGGAAATAGATTTAAGATACGCAAATTCAGCTATGCAAATAGCGTAGCTGAATTCGACGTATCCGATCCGACTTACCCCGCTGTGAGGACGGCGGCAAATTGACCGCCGCGGCTCCCTTGTCGACGGCGCTTACTCCTACCTGGGCTGGTGGAGTACGCGCGTCGATTCGGGGATCGATTGTCGCGTCCCGACGAGACGCGATAATTCGATCCCCGAGAGATCGATTTCTACCCGCCGATCCAGGCGGGTAGTGAAGACAAGCCCCCAAGCATTTAAAAGTTGATGAGAAGCCCAATCCAAGATATCAGGCTGTGAGTATCTTAAGAAGGGATCAGGTAGGGGATAGGCTAGGAAGTACTGCGGTGAAGGATTTGTTATGGCTCTTTCTGCATTAAGTATTTGAAACCGTTTTCAAATATGGTTTTAGTTTACCATGACTGACACAGTTTATGTCTGCACCCAAATTCATTACTGCAGGCCCAGTTGCTTCCTCAATGGGCCTAAAAGGGAGGAAATGTGAGGTTCTCTTTGCAAAGATTGATGCTTGATGATTCCACTGGGGGTGGAGGAAGAGGTGGATTTGCTCCTCTACTGAACAGGCGGTGAGGCCCACACTTAAACTCCATGCATCCCTTTGGAGCAGTGGGGATCTGGGGAATCAATAGGCGATCAATATTCGTGGAAGCCCTGTCCATTATCCGTGCAGGAACCCCAGACTCACAGAGCATCTTCCATTGCATCTGGGATAAGCAGAGGGGTCCTGCCACTTAGACAACTCAACTCCCCTTCCATGCAAGAAGGTATGTTCCACACACACAAGATCCCCTCCACACATAAATTAGGAGATAAGACTAGGCCCTGTGATACAACTGCTTTCAGAATCCGGGCTATGGAGTAGCTAGATGGTTAATCTGGAGCACATCTTGGGCTAATATGACTTAAAAAATAGCCTGTCTCCACTGGACTGAGAAACTGCTATAGCTGTTCTAACAGCCGTCATACTGGCAAATCCATGTGGAATGTTTTTGACAACAGTATTTGAACATAACTGTAGTTAGTACATATCAAGCTGTAGAGCAGACAGGGCCTAAGACACTACTCCTATGCTGGGGCACTTTGTTGAAGTACTGTAATTTTCAGATATGTTTAAAACATGGATCCTTAAGGGTGTAAATGCAACCAAACTGTTTTAATCAGGTCTCTAAACAATGGTGCAGCCTTGCAAGTCCAAAGCGGTAGCACAGTTGGTCCAGTGTACACTCAAAGTCTAAACTGTCTCAGACATATCCGGGAACAGCCATACTATAACTGGGTCTGCCAATAGGACAGTTTATACACTGTACATGGACATTAAGTCGCTCAGATTACTGCTAGAAAAGAGATGCTTCTTTCTCCTTCCGGGGTAGAAGGAAAGCCAAGGACATGGAAAGTATAGGCATAGATCACCTGCATAGGCATTATTTTACAATGGCCTCACCTAAGATTTCAGTACAGTACAGTAGTGCACAGAGACTCAGCAACAGGGATGGGGGGGAATAGCATGAGTCACTTCCATATTTTCTGCTTGTTGGCAGTTCCATTGCTATGGTTTGTGTGCCCTAGAAAGGCAGACTGGACTTCCTAGAGACGTGCCCAGGAGAGAAGATGACTCAGGATGTTTCAGTTAGCCTCCATATCAAGGTTGTTTTGGTCCTACTGCTGTGACCACTTCACAATTATTTTATATTGTGACATTTTATGCTCACAGTGTTGAGGTTGGCTCTTTTTTTTTTTTTTTAAATCAACTTCCAGGGGATTTTCTAGTTCTGGACTGGGTTTTATGAGCTTTTTTCCTCCCTTCCTTTTTTGTTGTTACAACCACTAATGTGTAGAGCTTCCACCCCCCCAACAAAAGAAAACCATATTTGAGGACAAGTGACCTGACAGAATACCTATCATTGGAATGTAACAGCTTTCAGTAGCGAGAAAAAAGGATTACAGCACATCATAAGTGGCAGACTAAGTGCTGAATACAATCACGTTTTAGTTTACTGACAATACAGTCTTAGCTCAGCGTACATCTGGGTGCATAGGCTTTTTCTATGACTTTTAAGGAGAGGGGGTTGTTTTCTCTTTTGCCAGACCATGTGATTTGTGTGATTCCTAATCATGCTTCTTTCATATTTTTATTTTTCTTACTCAAAAATCGGTGGGGCGTGAGGGTGGATATTAATTATTATTCCGCTGTAAGAGCTTCCTTTAAAGGAGATTCCCTTTGATTTTGAGGTCAACCTAGGTACACTCAATGAGAACTTTTATATACTGAGCCTTAACACTCACTTTTCATTCTAGCTTAGTATGGATCAGTGTCTTAATGCTAAGTAACTGATTTAGAAGACATATTTCTTCAAGGCACATAAGCACAGTGTGAACGCTTCTGTCTTCCTGTAATAAAATTCTTCCTCCTTTGAAATTCCAAGTGGAAAAAGGAAAGGGCAGAGTTCATTTGAACATTTCAAATTCTTTTTTAAAAAGTTTCCAAAGTAGGACTGCTGCCCCCAAAATAATGTCACCTTAGTACATAAGTAGGCACTGAAATAAATGATGGATAGGAGGGTGTTATTTTCCCATTATTAAGATGCAGGTTTTAAGCACCTTCAAAGGCCATAGTGATCAATTTACACTTATGCATTTTCAAGGAATGGCACAGTTGAGAGAAGTGAACACATACCATAATGCCTGTAAGTGTTGCAGTGGATAATGAGCAAGTTAGGAGATCCTTTATACACTTTACAGAACATCACATTTGTTTAAATGAACCTATACAGAAAGTGAACATAACAGTATATCAGTGGATCAGATTAGGGAACAGTTAAAATGAGTAAGTAGTGTAAAAATACTGCATCTCCCATTAACAGATTCCGTGGTTGCACCACCTAGTGGCCTACAGAAATGTTGCAGTTTCACATCACATGCTACATATTGATTGCCCTGTACTTCACTTAGCAACTGAAGCTCAGAATGAAGGCAGGCAGCGAGCATCAGTGAAGGTAATCAAGCATTGCTGTATTTTGCCCTTAGCTGATACATGAAAGTTAGCAGCATATAAAAGTACAGCCTGATTTAGCCTAACCACTACCTCACCTCTTTAAATTGTGCAAGAGTAAAATTCACCAGCAGCATTTCAATGAATATGTTTCAATTTGGTTTCAACTAAAACACTTTCCCCAATATAAAATGACACACGAACACAAAGATGAAACAGATCTAAGTAATTTTTATCAATCCTCAAAAGCTACTTTTCATGGTTTATTTGCCCGTTTTACTCAATATTACTTTACTTTGCTGGTTTAAAAGCCTACTCAACATATAAAATAAAATCGAAAGGAACAAAAACAAAGCTATTTCTGAATGAAAGGAGACTGTTGCTTTTTTTAAACAAATGGTGATATACAGACAATGCTCAAATCATCTGGAAAATCCTACATGAATGTTCTAAGGTTTCAAATTAAAGTAGCTGAAAGCTACAGGCTTGGAAGGGTCTGGTAAATATGCTGATATCCAAAAAAGTATTAGTTCCCAACACGTGTCACAATCAACTTTAGGGGGAAATTCTTGCCAGTTTTCTCGGTCACACCATCTGTGTTGCATCTTCTTAAATGTAAAATGGGAGAGCCTGGTTTTCTCAAGAAGTTCAGCCAGAAATATGAAGCTGTGGTAATCAGAAGGGACTTTGGCCCAAGCTAGGTTGTGCCCATCACTTTTTGTTTAGTGTGGCTTAAGAATCTTAATGGATCACTAGGCAGAGGAAATAAAAATCCTCTTGTGAATTCTGAATTTCTGAAAGCACCGTCCATTTGTAAAGCTTACAACTCTAGGGGAAGCTCAACTACTCCATTCTCACATTTCAAATAAATCAACGGTCTCACCCTCATCATAGGATGTGCTATTTCTCCAGCCCAAAATTACCAGCTTTGGGGAAAACGTACACTCATACTCAACCGAAATAATTTGTGTGTTATGTTAAATTAACTACAAAAATTCTTCTCATCCACATGCCTGCATGTTAGATAGGGTTACAGCAGAATCAAGCATTGTATTGTACTGAAAAACTAAAAGCAACAACCTGTAACAGTAACCAAAGCAGAAGCAATTTTCTTATTGTTACACAATATAAATTGGTAACTTAATATTAAAATTATACTTCCTATATAAATAAAAATAAAAAAGTCAGGCAAAAGTAAATTGGCACAGTCATTATGGTATTGCTTTCCAGTTTAAACACTGCAAACTGCACCCACAGATTACAAACACCAAAAGGGGCAAATGATCACCACTGACTGGAGTCGAATTTTTGAACTAGAAAAACCTGCAGTGCTGCCGCCTCAAAAATATCAAACATACATTTGCATTTTGTAAAGGAGTGGGTGGTTGTGCAGCTGACTAAGAGGATTGTTACAGAGCTGCTATTTAAAAACCAAAACAAGTACATAAAAGCAGAAAACGATGGAGTGTGTTACTGGTCTGTAACCTTTTCTTGAGACACTATCTTTCAGGATTGCCTAGTTTTTACCTTTAGTTTTACAAAAGGCCAAAAATTAAAAAAACAAACCAACCATTTTTAAACCAAGTTATTGTTTCCCTTCACCCTCCCCCTGCAAGCACCTCCTAATACACACACTTTTCTGTCTCAGGGGTTCGAATAGCAAGGGGGTTTGGAAACTGGAATGTAGCGGAAATACAGTCGAGAGATTTTCTAGTTGTACATTACAACACGCAGAGATTTGCTCCCAGACCTAAGAAAAGAGGGGTGCTAACAATAGTAAATGCCTATAAGAATCCTTACAATAGCATGCAAAATGCTGAGATACTCACAAAATCGAAATAATTTATATTTTTCTTTTGAATTTCCCACTTCACAGTACAACAACATCTATTATGCAGCAGTCAATTATGTTGACTGCTAAATAGTTTCCCTTGTTTTTTTTTATTTTTGTTTTTTTTCCTCCCTCTTGTTTGGAAGATTCCTCTTATTTTTCTGAGCGGAGAGTTTGGAGACCTTCAGAAAATTCGGCATAACAAGATTTGTTTTTTCTCTTTAGTATTCCCACCCCCCAAATGCTGCTTATGATTCAACTACGCAGATCGTTAATTTTAAAATTTGCTTTTCTCCCCCTTCTTTCTCTTGTCTTCAGACTGCCCTTTTCTTCAAGCCAGGGTGTTGATGGATGGTTGCAACTAAAGTGGATACTGCATAGTGAGGTGGGTAGTACAGGCTAAGGGAGACTCTGATGCAGCTGAAATCTCTCCCCAGATGCTTGGCACATCTGTTTCATGACCTGAATAGCCTCCTCTGGTTGTGAGACCATGCAGTTAGCTTATGCTTACAATTCCCAAGGCAAATACTGCTCCCACTTACACCCATGTAACTCTACTGACATCAGTGTGGCTGCACAGGTGTAAGTGGAGTGGGTATTAGGTCCCACCTTTTGTACTGCTATGTGTAGCTTTATAGAAATTTCTGCACTGCTCTTAATTCAAACAGGGTCGGAATTTCTGAAGAATACAAAATGCTACCTGTTAGCAGATTGTCCATACAGTACATTCTGACACATCTTATCAAAGTATTTGTATCTATCAGAAAAAGACTCTTGTAGAAGCAACATACAAAGCTTCAAAAAATTCAAGTATCAAAAATGTCATTTTGATAAAAGTTTCGATTAAGCAGCCAGCAAGAAAGACAGCTGTTGATTTTTTGTCCCCAGACACTTGAAGATACTTCAGTACATGTTTGTAGTGCTTATTTTAGCACAGGTATTAACATCTGTTTGTGTGGAGAGCTAGGAGTTTCCCTTCAATTTTGAAGGTCCCAAAGAATTTAGCAACCATTTTTGGACAACACTGCCTCTGCTTTATAAACAACTAAGTGAGCTTGTTTGTTTCAGATAATAGAATTAAAGTGCTCAGCCTAGTTCTCCCTGCTTTTCTTTCATGTACTGTACTTATTTGTTGTATAATGCAAGTGGGTCTGGCTCCTTTGACACCAAAAGAAAAGGTCAGAAGTGCAACAAAGAGGCAAGAAAAGGATACCCCCTTTCCTAGAGTTTGTACAAACATTTACAAGGGAAGGGGTAGGAGAGAGACAAAAAAACAACAGGTCCAGTTGTACACAAAACTTCTAGTTTATTTTTTAAAAACCCTGTTCAAATCAAGACTTGAATTTCTCAGTGGAGGAATCAAAGATCCCCTTGCTGAATGATACTATTCTCTGTGGCCCAGAACAGTACTTTAAAACAGCAGTTATTAAAGACACACTTGTGATATAGCCTTTAATTCTCCTCTCACCCCAGAAGGGCATTCTGACAAGTGTTCGTGTAGAAAGCTTGAAGCTTCTTGATGATCAATTTCATCCATAAAAATGAGGAATACCTTCTCACCTTCCCAAGAGCAACAACCGCACTCTGTGTTGCATTTGTTAAAGTGTCTGTTGTTCCTTCTAGTGGAGCCTTTCAGCACAGCTCCATGTCCAGTCCAATTCTTCCCTATTCTACAGATCAAAACTAGAGGGAGTTTCTCCTTTCTCTTCAGCTTAGCTCTGTTTGACAAACAGCAGAAGCACTGAAGGCTATGCTTCCTCATGACAGGAGCAGGCCAGTAATGTCTGAAGAAGAAACAGTCCTCCTGTTCTCAGAGTGGCAGGTTCACACCAAGAACAGTTCTACAAGCCCCCTTGTTGTGACCAGACTCCTATACCTCTGTGGAAAAGAGGATGCTTTGCCTTTTGCTGTCTGGGGTGGGGATAGTCTCCAACTGCAGGAAGTAAAGAAGAACTTGAACCTGGAAAAAGGAAGGGAGATGAAATCGTAAATCAGTCTTATATTGCAGTGCACAGCGTGATCATGAATATTTAGTCAACTTCAATGTTTCAATGGCTCTCTCTTCATCCTACATGTTAAACTGAGGTACGGTGAAGCTGTCAATATTTCAGATCAGCCCAGTTTTGAAATCTTTCTGATTACTAACTCACCTTTACCAAAGCCAGAGAATCCAACAGTGTAACCTGCTTAACTAGCATGCATACTGGAAATGCCGACACTGCCTTTTGGCAGGTATCTGTGGACAAAATTCTGGAACCAGCAAAAAGTCTCTCTGAAGGTTGGTACACATGGTAGAGTGGAAGAAAAAGAAGCATCGTGGAAAACACCAACAATTAGAGCTGATTGAATAACTGATTTTTTGGTTTGGTGGCAGTTTTGAAAAATTGAAAATAAAATCTGAGTTGGTTTGAACCAAATCAAATATTTTGGAATTTCTGGTGAATCAAAAAAGTCCATTTTGGGTCTGTTCCAGAGCCGGGATTCAAACCTGGGTCTCCCACATCCCAGGGGAGTGTCCTAACCACCGAGCTAAAGGTTAGAAGGAGTTGCCACAGCACTTCCTCCCCCTTCTTGTTTTCTTTCTGTCACCATTTTATGACTGGGTGAAAATATCTGTCTCAAATTTGCAAACAGTTTCAGGTCAATTCAAACAGCATTTTTCATGAGATAAACTATTTACCTGAAAAATGTCATCCAGTTGTAGCAATAATCCATTAGCCCTAGAACCAGTTACTAAGCCACTGTGAGATGTGTGTTATGGGGATTCTTGTCACCTAAGTACACACAGAGCTGGGATGCACAGTTGATGTGGGTGCACCAAAATGTTAGTGCTGACAACCAAGTTGGTACAGATATATGCTGAACTGTCTGAGCAAACACTGCCAGACTTGGTTTAAAGATGGTGTTGAGCCTCCCATGGTTGAAAGTTGCTCTGTAGATTAACCCTATGGCTTGTTAGCAGGGTAGTTTATAGCACTGATTTTGCTACCATGATTTTTTAAAAATAATCCTCATTCACACTGAACATGCTGTTCTAGGTAAACTGTGCTGGAAAGCCGGAAGGAGAGCTCTGTATAGCTCAAAAGCTTCTCTCTCACTAACAGAAGTTCGTCCAATAAAAGATATTACATCACACAACTTGGAAAACAACTATTAAGGATGGTTCTGCCAAAGCCTCTTGGAATGACTGCAGGTAGCCCAGTTCTGGACAAAGAGGCTAAGATATTGTCTCTATCAGATTAATTAAAATATTTAGTTTTTTACCTGGGACATGACTTCTAGTGACCAGCTATCAGTCATTGTTATAGGCTGGGTTGGGTTAGCAGGAATCTTACTGTCCTTCTCTGAGGGTCTGAGCAGCGTTGGTCCAAAGACAGTTGCCAGGTTGTGCAGGGACATCTTGTTGATGCTCTCTCTCTCGGCAACCCTAAGAGGAAAAACAACGGAGAAAGAGGGTGTTTCTACATTCTGTGGCTCAAAGAAACATTCCTATTAAGCAGCTTTATTTTTACCTACTTTTAAGAGGTTTTAGATACAGACATTCAATAAGCAACTATACTACTTATGTCTCATTCATAGATTCTAAGGCCAGAAGGGACCATTGTGATCATGTGTACCACAGGACATTAGACTTTCTCACATTTTTATTATTTGTACTTTGGATTAGATGATTGGATTAGATGCTGTACAGTCACGGGGGCTTGTCTAAGTGCACTATCTGTGTGGATCCTGCTGCCATGTGCTTTAATCTAACCCCATTTCAAAGTGTGCAGCAGCAGGGTCCACCCGGATACTTAGTGCACGGCACATTAGTGTGGGGTAGATTTACACCTCAGCTGAGTACTAAACCCAGATCTCCTAGACCAGAGCCTTAACCACAAGACCATCCTTCTTCTCTACAGATACGTTCCTTAGCATGAACACAAAGCAAATACATGAATATTAAAAAAATAACTTTCTTAAATGAAAACACTCTGCAGGTAATAAACAAGCTCATTTAATGAATACTAAGGTGCTCCGAGCACTGTACCATAATCTTGTAGTAATTACAAACACACAAAAAGCACCATATAATAAAGTCCCTCTGAAAAAATGGCAAAGAAATAAGACCAAAAAAGACCTTTAAGCAAGGTGGAGGATAAAGAGGAAGAGACATCTAACTATGGGGTGACAGTAATAAGCACCTTTGAAAATGGAAGGTTTATAGATGTTAAACAGTTGGGAGGACTGATACAGCTAGGAAGGGAGAGTGAATTGCATATGGCAGGCCCCACACAGCAAGGAACAATCTCTTGCCAACACAAGAAGTATTGTTGCAATTCCTAAAAGACGGGTGGTGTTAAAGTGCAAATACCTGGTAAGACAGGCTCTAGGAAGAGCCCTTGAACATAGTCAAGACATTTAAAGATTTATCCCATTTACTGTGTTCGGTTACTTCGTTCACGTGCAAGTGTCATTTTATGGAGAGAGAGAGAGAGAGAGAGTGTGTGTGTGTGTGTGTGTGTGTGTGTGTGTGTGTGTGTGTGTGTGTGTGTGTGTGTGTGTGTGTGTGT